TCCTCCTCTTGTGGTCGGCCTAATTCGGATGCATCCGAGTCACAACGTCGGTCTTTCGACTCTGCCAAGTTCGGATGTGTCCGACCACGCTGTCTTCGTCTTTGAACATTTGCTCTACGAAGGGCAGTCTGATGACGAGGGTCAACGATGCCTCGTGGATTGGGTGAGCAACAACCAACTAAAACTCACGACGGCGACGATATCCCCCGTGATGACGCACATATTATAATGACACACTACGACAATCACGGGGAGGTCCGGTGTGTGGTGGGGCGACAACAAAGCGAAGCGCCTCGGCGAAGTCGGATTAATCCGAACCACACTGGTGGCATTTTCGGATTTACCACATGCGCAGAGGGTATTGACGACGTCGCACGGTCTGATAAACTTGTACGTCGAAAGCACACGGTGTCGGCGCAACCTGTCGTGGTTGCACGTATCGGGACAGCCTCTGTCGAAATCGGATAAATCAGAGCCACATACGTCTTAAACACTCAAGGACGAAGACACACCGTGCGAAATTTGGTTGGACCGGACGACAGCTGGGGAATAACGGAAGCTTGGATGGCTGGATGGGCGTCAACAGAACGTGGGGTCCATCCGCCGGTCCCCGTCTCGGATTAATCCAGATTAATCCGAGCCACATTTGCGAAGTTCAGGTTCAACCGAACCGAACCTCCGACAGGATAGGTTTAACCCAGTGCTCAAGGTCGGTGACGAAAATACGTGTTGTAGATGACCTCTTGTGGACGAATGTCTCTGGACCTCGCTGTTCGAATTCGGATGCATCCGAGTCACAACCGTTACCGACTCACAAGGACAAGAAAACTCGAGTTCGGTTTCGTACGGGCCGAAAGGGGGTGGTCCACACCGCTTTGGAGCTCGGATTCATCCGAACTATAATGGCGGACTTTACAATCCACTTGTCGACTTCGGATGACCACGTATTCGTCTTCTTGCAAGGTGTTGCTTTTCCCGGTGCAGGTGCCTATGCGACATCGGTTTTTCGACTGCGCATGCTTCGGATGTATCCGATCTATCCCGCGGTCTTCGTTTTCGACCATTCATTCTCTTAAGGGCAGTGTGACGAGGATGCCTCACGATGCCTTGGATTCATCTGAAACGTGCAGGCTTGTGGAACACTGTCGTCTAACTATGACTGAACTTCGTTCTTTTGGAGTCCGGGTGAACGATAACAGAATACGTGCTGTGGGTCGTGGTCGATGTTGGGACGTGCTGACTGTTCTGAGTGAATGTGGGTTCATTTCCTCCGTGTGTTTCAGGGAATGGCTTCACACGGACGAGGCCGCTCCGCTGGTGGTTCCGCCCCGCATGGAGAGGAGCGTCGAGGGACGACGTCGTCGCGGGCAAGGGAAACGAGTCGGGGAGTTGGAGGTGGGGAGGAAGAACGACGTGCTCAAAACTTGTGGTGCGACTACAGCAAACGTGTCTGGTATTTGGACTGGGCGAGCCAGGACGGCTCCGACCCTTTGCAACCACCGTGCAGGCCGCTCTTGTTCGTCGCCGTTCGCGCCGACGGAACGCGTCTCGCAGGGTCCATCGTCCAGTGGGTCGACGATGGCGAATACAATTTCAAGTTTACGTTGAAGAAGCATTACAGAAGTGATGGTTCTGTCGACGGCATCGCAAAGGGATGCAAGGTTGTCGGGAGGATGTTCGACGGGTACGGCCGTCGTGCGATGTCTTTGCCTCACTTTGTCCCGCTAGCGCCGGGGCACGACGAGGCCGTTCACGTCACAGACTTCCTCGAGGTCTGGGCGAAATCTGGTACCTCTGTCAGTACCATGGACGTCGGACCTGGAACATCGATCAGTGGTCCTGTTGGGTTTGCGGGAGGAGAGTGCTCTGAAGGGGGGATGGGAGGTCAGGGTGGCCTGCCAGCTACGCCTCCTGATCAAGAGGTGGGCATGTCAGACGACTCGGAGGACGACCATCCTCGTGCTCCTTTGAAACCAGGCTTGCATGTATCTCGCCGCCACGGTTTTCTTGGAGGCGGCGATGGCGAACGGTTGCGACAGGGCTCAGAATCGACGGCTCCTCGTGGTCTGGTCGAAAGGATCGGTTCGTTCGTTCGTGGCATGCAGGTGGCCGAGGTTTTGCCTGGTGATCGAGCGGGTGGTCCGCAGGTTCGAGAGGTGCGTGGGTCAGATGAGACGGCTCGCCGGGCCCGACCAGCTCCGGCGCAACTGCAGACGGAGTTGAGCCAGGAATGAGAAGCAAGTGGGAATGTCGCGGGTGAGGAGGAGGTGTCCGAGCAGGGGCTGTTCTGTGAGAAATCGGCTGAAAAGACTCTGTCGGGAGGCAAGTGCAACTTTTCGGATGAGGAAGAGCGAGAGGGACTAGGTGCTCTGAAAAGGCAGAGAAAGGTAGGAGGGAGTGCTCGGACGCCAACAACATGAGAGGGCGATTCCGTTGAGAAGAGGAAAAGGGTTGAAGGTGGGGTTGAAACGCCGAAAGACTCGTCGACACAGCGAAAAACCGGTGAGTCTTCCGGGAAACGGTCGAAATCATCGAGGGGGAAGAAAGCAGACGAGGGCGACAGCGGGTAGGGGGATGACGACGTGGAGATTAACCTCAACGTCTTTAACCTCGGCAATCCGTTCTTCCTCGAGATGCAGACAGGGGTGCAGAAGGACGTCGTGTTGCACATCCATCCCGAAAGAATATTAGCTATTCCAGACTGGGAAGACGCGTACAACCACCGATACTTGGACGAGTTCCTCGTTGATACCATCGCGTCGGCTATGATCGACTGCTACGAACGCAAAGACATCAGATACACGAAGCCCATTTTCGTTCTCGCTCCGATCGTCGCGCCTCCAGAGAGCGGCGAGCCTGCTGTGCGCGTGCTGCCTGCTGACTTCGACAACTCACACCCGGAGAAATATTGGTGTTATCTTGTGTGTGGACAGCATAACGCGGGGGCGGCGATGATGGTGAAAGACCATCCCGTCTTTGATTACTACGACTTCTGTAAATGGTCGTTCAGACCGATCTACTTCCCTGACGACGAGTTCGACGGCTACGCCTATGTCAGCTGCGAAGACAACATGAAAGACAAGAAGAATCCACCGCGCTTGCAGGTCTTGTCTATGCGGGACATTCGCAATATCTGGAAAATTAAGGGCAAACCGCGTGTGGTGCTCGACAATGCCTCGAAGAAACAGGACGAGGTGCGAAAGTGGGTGCGGTTCATGGCGTTAGCAATGAAGAAGACGCCGTACACGCCTATCTGGAACCTGTCAACGGAAGTAAAGAAAAGAAAGGAATGGGCAGAGAAACTTCGATACTACCTCTCGCTGGCCATGGAAGATGACTCCGTCTTCGCTTTGGGGTTGAAGTTCTATAAGGAGTGGTCGAAAGAGAAACACCTTGCTTCCGACGGCCGGCGTTGGACTGAAAAGCCGCCCACCCATGAGGAGGTGGCCAAGCCCGGACTCTCCACTGTGACTGACAGCCAGGGTCTGAAAAAACACGTCTGGTACGTGAAGGTGGACGACCTGTCGTTGAAAAAGGACAGGGGGAAGCCAAAGAAAGTCGGGGAGGAGAAAACTTTCTACGTCCAAGTTCCGGAGCCGGATGTCCACTGCTAGAAGGAATTGGTGGACTTGACGGACCGCGAGAAGAAAAGGTTGTTGAACGGCGTCTTGAACCTTAACGTCGTGTGGGTTTAAACGAGTAGCAAGAAGTTGGCCGAGCAGGGGAAGTTCAGTGTCAAGGAGATGGTCGACATAATAAAAATGGACCGGATTATGCTGAGGCTGTGGCACTACGTGGAGTTCGAGTACGAGGAAATGGATAAGCGGGAGTGGAATGCCAACTCCACGTTCTTCAGGTCCAAGAAGCAATTGTTTGAAGAGTTCAAGGACAGAGGTCTCGACGACAAGCTTTGGAACGAGAGCAGGAAATTTTTCACGGACACCACATACGTCAATAAGTGCCCTCAGTTTCTCGGGTGTCAACACGACAACAACATCAAGAGAACGGCGGCCCCTCGTCAATGACCAGCATTTCCCGGCGGAGTGGAAGCGTGTCGTCCTTTCGGTGATCACTGGAGATCGCGCCAAAGGCAAAAAAAACCCTCGGGGCGTTGATGAATGCATCAACATTATGTGGACAAGGACAAGCGCCTTGACGACTCTGGCCCAGTTTAACGTCGACCCATTGAGTGTCATAGATCATAAGGTGGCGCTGGGAAAACTAGGGCATCAGCTACGCTCCCACACTTGCGTGCTCGACTTATGCAGTACTGTGGACCGTGCGCAATGAGACTCTGGGGCATTCGCGTCTCTGAGTGAGTTGCTGGGCTTCGTTTGTCAGGACTACTGGACATTGGTGGTATTCGTCCCCTGCCTGTGGAACCTCTCCTTCATGACATGTTTGTCTGCGCTTGGGGCTACCCGATGCTACACGGGGAAGTGGGTTCGGAAGACGGCATCGAAGAAGACGCATCAGTTCGGAAACAACGTCTGAGAGGAGCCGGATGTGATGCACATCCTTTTCAAAGGCGAGGATCCTCGACTACTGACTCACCCGGTGTACGAGGGAGTTGTTGCTGAAAACAACGCCGTCGCTCTCCGGAGGAAACAAAAAGTGACACCCACGGATGTGGAGGAGAAGTTTTTCAAGTCCTTGACTTTCGCGGACATCGGAAACCTCACCTAAAGGGGGGCTCCTGTACAAGGACGGCGAGCGGAATCCGAATCAGTTATGCAATCAGCTTCTTTTCTTCTGCGGTGTGGTGGATGCCGTGCTGTTCTTGGGCAAGCCGCACGCGCAGGTGGTGTGGAGTCTGCTTCAGCAGGAAAGGCACGTCTTGGCCGTGGATGGGGACACAACGCAGCTCGAATACACCGTGCAGTATATCACCCATGAAGTGTCGTCCAAAGCTTACCCATGCGATTTCCACCATGTCGTGGTCGAGCCCGTTTATGACCCGAACAAGGACATGTTCTTCAAGTTGACTCCGAAGAAAAGGCGCCAGGTCTACTCCTTCCTTTACGGCGAACAACCAAGGTTGAGATTTGACCCGCAGTACGTGGTGCGGAAGGAAGTCGCCATTGCGGTTCTCCAGGGCTACCACGGAGCGAGTCGGGCTGGCGCTGTGAGCTTCATTAAGAGTCTGGAATATGTATTTTTTAACAAGGATGTTGTTGATCCGGTCGACTTCACTTTGGATAAGTACAAGCTGGCATTCGGTGAGGAGGACGACTTCAATATCGAGACTGAGCAGGAGGAGAGCGTTGAGGACGACCTCTTCAATTTGGACGGGCAATTGGCCATCTTCAACGCCCAAGTTTCTGAGTCGCCATCAGTATGCAAACCAGGGACACCTCTCGCTACACCTACCTCGGGCGGTCCCACGCCCGTGTCCTCCTCAACGCCTGTCAAGAGGGGTGGGTTGTCCCGTCTGAGGAGTTCGCCGGGGGAGC